GGATGACGTGGTGCAAGATCATGTCATTCGGGGTCCTATACCTTGTTAGAGGCGATATAGAAGATAATAAAAAGCTGGTACAATGTCTAGAGTCAACCTGACCATAACTCGGGCTAGGCCGGGCTTCGGGCTAAGCTTAATAAAAGCCCACAACAGAAACCTAGGTCTAAGCCCGGCCCGACCTGACCTCGGGGCCTAGATTTTAGGCCCAAGCCTGGTCCATCAGTGCAAAAGCCCGTCAGGCCTCGGGCTGGGTCTCTTTCCAAAAATGCAGCTATGTCAGGCCCAAGCCTGGCCTGATCTATTAGTCCGGCTCAAAATTTAGGCCCAGGCCCGACCCGTGGGCCAGGCCGTGTCGAGCTATTTCGGACCGGGTATAGTCTAGAGTCATCCTGGTAGTGATTTGCATGTAATGTTTCACACCATTTATTACATTATATCGAGTTGTTATCTTTTTTCTCCAAGAGTGAGTAGCTCTTCAGACACGCACAAAATTTCGGCGGGTCGAACCCTAAACCTACGTCTTGCTAAAGAAATGGCAAAAAAAGAAAAAAAAAATGGAGCAAGGGCCGTCTGATCGGTGCCAACTCTCGATCCAGCCGTCGTCACTGGGGGAAGGTACCCATCTTCATTTGCTCGCCTCGCCGGCCGCCGCCGCCACGCTCCGCCGTCCTCTCTCCGGCGCGGCGCAGCCACCTCTGCCCCGCCACCTCGCTGCCCGCCGTACATCCACCTCTCTCCTTCGCCTCCTAGCTGCCGTCTCCACCTTCCCTCTCTCGTTTCCCCCTTCCAGCGAGTGAACCATCAACCTCATAAGGGGGACAGAGGGAGATGGTGCTGCGGCGGGCGGCGGTGGAGTCCCCTAAGAAGGTGGCGGCTCTGGTCGACCTGGTTAACCTGCCGACGGCGCTGCGGGAGTTCGCCGGGGGCCGGTCCCAGATGTCCCACCTCTCCTTCTTCCTAGGCGTCTGGTCACACATCAAGAACAACAACCTCCAGGTACATCCTTCCTAGGCAGCCCCACCTGTTTGTTTGGTCGCCTCGGAAGTTAATCACGTTAGGTTTAGTTCTCGGAATTAGTTGAGCGTCCCTATTATGACGGAAGATTTGGTACCTGCCCTTGAAATCCCGTTTCCATTTAGTCAGCAAGCTAGATGTTATTCTCTTGTTGCTGGTGAACTTCACGCATTTGATTCAACTCAGCTAGGATAGGAATTTGCCGAATAAGACATTCATACGACCAGCTCAGCTAATGGCCGCTGCTTAGTTGGATCAGAACCACCTGCAGTGTTAAGTCTGAGCTATAGCTCAGTGTTGGAGGATCTGTCGTTGTTTCTACTTTATGGGTATTGCTTCCCCTTGAGGCCTGCACATCCTTTTCAAGGCCGACTGTCCATTGTTCTCTTTGAGGTTTGAGCAGGCGCTTCTGTTTTTGTTGACTTCATATCTAACATGAAGAAGAAGACATCATCTCTCTCCATATATATCCAGGCCATGCGGTGATACTGTTAGTTGGGTGGCACCATTATTGCCATCAGTTGGACTTGAGCTACATTGCAGAAAGTAGTTGTGGCTCCATCTTCCATTTAGGTACCTGTTTTGAACAGTTTACACTAGAGAATCGCCAATAAAGTCATCTTGAGTTTGACATTTTGTTTGTAAACCTAGATGCGGCACTGCTGCATTCTTGAAGGAGTTCTTCTGTCATGCTGTAATATATACTCCCTCTGTCCCAAAATATAGTGCGTATTAGACCTTCTGAAGTCAAACCTTGTAAACTCAACATCCAGAATAAATTTCTCAACATCTAGAATACCAAATCATTACCATCAGAATATCATAAAATAAATTTTGGTATTGGACAGAGTGAGTATTAAATCTCATGGCTCTCTCAGCTATAAAACCAGGTTGAATCTTGGTGAATGGCAAGGGATAAATTAAAATTTTAAGGTCATAGCTTTGTTCTCGCAATTTTTGTTTCAGAAGAAACAGAAAACCTGTTAGCTTTGCCTGTTTCACCCCTGTCAGATTTTCATATGGATATGTGATTTCTACAAGTTGTTTACATTAAATTACTCTGATTTGCAGGACCCGACCAACAGGAACATTGTAAACTGTGATGAGAAGCTGAAAACTGTGCTGTTGGGCAGGTCTAAGGTGGAGCTCTCGGAACTCCCAATGCTTGTCAAGCTACATTTCCCAAAAGTTTTCAAGTCGTAAGAATAATAAACTGTCTTTTACGAAATTTCCATGCATGGTTGATGTGTAGACAATATATGAGTCTTCCTAACCCCTTCGGTACGTGTCTTTTTTTTTCTTTTCCAATTTTTAGTAGCTTCAGCTTGTGTTCAGATGAAGAAAAAACATGTAGTACCACATAGTTGCTTGCTGTCTTTCTCTTGGCATATTGTGTATTGAACTTAAACCGAATTTGGAAGGCGGCTATTGAATGCAGGCCTGAAATTGTTGGTTTGGTATTCCTATCTGCCCGGCAAGCTTTGTGGAGTTTGATGATGATAGCTTTCTCTTTCTTTTGCTTTTGTACGTGAGCAGTCGAGCTGTCATCCCTAACAACTAGGGTACTTCATTAAGTCTCATTAGAAGATACGGTCAGGGCCTCCTTAACTTTGCTACTACCCAGAGTGAATGGGGTGATGGTACGCTTAAGCAGGTGATGCTATGCTAGATGTAGAAGAAAACGTGACATCCTTATGCAGAAGTGTAAGTCCTATGTTCATAAATAAAATTAATTGGCAATCAATTTTTGTGTGTGAACAAATAGAATTCATTGACCATAATGATAGCACTACTAATTTCTCTAGGCAGTGTGCGAAATTGTTGATATGAGCAAATAATTGTTGGAAGTAAGAGGTTTTTGAAAGAGTACAAACTGCCAAAAGAAGGAAAGGAAACACCTTGTTTCTCTAGATAAATAGTGTGTGGAATTTTTTTGTATGAACAAAACATTATTGGAAGTAGAGATTCTGCCAAAAGAAAGAAAGAGAACCTTCAAGGTGTTTTGTTTGTATTGGAAGTAGACATATTAAAGTATAGATTTACTGATTTTGCTTCGTATGTACTACTCCCTCTGTTCGGAATTACTTGTCGTCGAAATGGATGTATCTAGATGTATTTTAGTTCTAGAGATACATCCATTTTCGAGACAAGTAATTCCGAGAAATGGATGTATCTAGATGTATTTTAGTTCTAGAGATACATCCATTTTCGAGACAAGTAATTCCGAACGGAGGGAGTAGTTCATAGTGAAATCTTTAAAACATCTTATATTTAGGAATGGAGGTAGTATATTCCAAAGCCAGACTGAAGTCTGAGAATTGTTTATTTTAGAGAAAGTCTGAGAATTGTTTGGTAGTACATCAGATGTGAGCAGCAGCATAACATCAAAAACTCTCACTACGATTTATATGGACCCGACTATTGTTTTTCTTCGTCCACGGCACATAAAGTCATATTTTCCCAGTCACTTCCTCGGATCATCTTATATTATAAAGCTGTCTTCTACAATAACATTACAAAACTAGCAAAAGTTTTCATTTACAGTCCATTGCGTACTACATGTACACATGGTCGTCCGCCATGGATCAGTGTAAGATGATGTCTCGTTTTCATAGAACATAAACACGCACACACAACATATACAGTCATCCCTCCATATATTGTCTTCTCAAGCGAGAAAACTGAACTGAAATTCAGAGAAATACATGAAGCGTGGTGTTCATGACTTTATCGGCGAGCATATTGTACATCCTCTCCGTGGGATGGATGGCGTCGAAGAAGACGTACTTGTCGGGGTTCGTACATAGCAGCGAGGTGCTCAGGCTGCAGAAGTAGCCGGCCTCGAACATCCCCGTCCCGCAGCACCCTCGCTCTGCGTTCTCAAAACCTGCGAGATCATCATCTTCATCAGAAATTAAATAAATTTGGACAGGTAAAGTCACTACATAACTACTCGGAAATGTGAAAGGCAGTCTAAGAATGTGTACAGTGAGAGAAGCAAAAGTCTGAACGGACGTTAATTCAGTGCATGATGATGCCACGCACTGTGCATGCAACAGGAGGTGGTGCATGCAACAGGAGACAAGGCATGTGGCGCCCATGCCGTGCTTCTCGTTGCAGTGGTGCGGTGCTGTGCACTGTGCACCATTAATCGAAACGATCGAAGAGTGTGAATGCATCCTAGGCCCTAGCTACTCACTTCTGTGCACCTCTGCTGGCTAGGCAGAGAGCGAGCAGCTCGGCCATGCATGCCAGAGTTGGTTGTGCATGCATGGCCACGCCACGCGTACTATGCACGTACCGTAGTCGGAGGGCTTCCTGACGACGGCGTCGAGGACGTCGTAGGTGTCGGCGTAGACGAGGTGCAGGCCGGGGAGCTCCTTGTTGAGCTTGGGGACGACGGCCTGCTGCAGCTTGGCGTTGAAGCTCCGCGCGACGGCGTTGTACTCCTCGTTGCACTGCCCGGGGTCGCCGCGGTTGCCCATGCGCTCGGCGGGGAGGCAGCCCATGGGCGTGAGCCCCGTGAAGTCCATCTTCCTGCCGCCGAGCGCGTGCACGGCGCGGATGGACGACTCGGCGAGCCCCAGCAGGTACGCCTCGTACTCCGCCGCCGTGTACTGCATCCGGCGCTCCGGCAGGTTGTAGTAGTTCTCGATGAAGTCGTTGGTGCCGATGCTCCAGATGTATAGCGCCTCGCGGATGATCTCCTCGCCGCGCGCGTCGCCCTTGGCCAGCTTCAGCCGCAGCTTGTACTCCCTGAAGTAGTCCAGCTGCTCCGCCATGGTGATCACGGACAGGATGCCGGCGGTGGCGTTGTCGAGGCCGGTGGAGGCGGACGCGAAGGAGACGCCCGCGGCGAGGTCGTCGATGGTGAGGGTGGTGTCGAGGTAGGCCGGGATGGAGGCGGGCAGGCCGAAGGCCTCGGAGATGAAGTCGGTGGCGAGGCGGCCGTTGGAGAAGCGGCCCGTGGGGTGGCCGTCCGCGAAGTCGAGCCCGTAGGGCCAGAAGTTGCTCCGCGCGATGGTCGGGATGAAGTTGTTGTTGCCCGTGTCCACCGAGGAGTCGCCGAACACGATGATCGCCGGCACCTTCCTGGCCGCCGCCACCGCCACCGCCGTCCCCCCGCCGCCGCCGCGGAGCACCAGGAGGAGGATCAGCCACGGCAGGCACCTCTGGAGCGACGACATTGATAGCTAGACTAGACAGGCCGATCAATCTCGTCGGGAACGAACGAACGATCTTTCTTTCTCTTGTTGCGAGCGTTTGGTGCAGGAGGTTGGTGTCTGTGTCGTCACGAGATTAAGGCGCCGAATGGACGTACTGCACCAAATATATGGACGCCTAAGCCTGACTGACTGGCTGCTCTACGTATCGCGGGCGGCGGCAGCATGTATATATGGTGGCACCGTGGTGGCGTGGTGTATCCGCGCGATGCCACGCCCGATGAGGCAACGCCCCCGAGAGCGATGGGCCGTTTTCAGGCCTTGAGGAGCTCGATAGGTTCAGCTGCATGTGAGGCGCTTAATTAATTCGGACCGCATTTAAATCGCTCGCTCGTTCGTCCCTCTGTGCGTGCCTTCATGGAAAAGCGCGCGCGAGCAGGAGCAGCTGATGTAGTAAAATGGCGCCGCTGCCCCTGCTTGCTGGACTATTTATGGCCTCCCATTCTCATTTGCTTCCAACTTCCAAGGTCTTGATTCTTTTGACGTAGTACTCACTCCCGTGTATTCCGTGGTTACAGTGTAGAGATACACCGTAGAATCACATACTCGGCAGAGAGAGAGAGAGTAATAATTGCTGTACATCCGTAGTAGTATTCCCTTCCTCCAGGTACATAAGGCGCCTAGTGAAAAAATAGCAGCACCTTCAGGAAATCAGGATGAAATAGTTTCTTCAGGTTGAAAAAACAGACTTTCCAGAGTTCATCACCACATCAGGTGAATCAACCCACGGTGCCTTGTGTCTCTCCAATGCGCGGAGAGGCATTTTCATTTTTTTCATTAGTACTGATCTAGGCCGAGGCGGGACTGGCGTCGGTCATATTCGGAGACGAGGTTGGTGAATTTAACGCGCCAACATCACCGTGGGAGGAGTATGTCGCGTCTACTCGCTGAAGCTATCGCAGTCCTTGATGGAACCACACGGCTGAGGATTCCAGTCCAGACGTGGAAAGAGGCACTTTCCTTCGCTCGGGATCGGAAAGTATCCCCAATCTTAGCAGAGATCAAGGGGCTCAGTAGAGGTTTTGTTGCTTTTATTTAGAATAGACTGGACTCTGTCACATTTTGATTTGTGCTAATCAGGCATCCTATGAGGATCGCCTTGTATAATGTGGGTGGGTACACCACCTAATAGCCTGCCGACTTGCATAATGCATGATTGTAAATCCACTCATCATGAACTATAATAAAATAGTTCTTGTTCGGCAAGAAAAATTAACACCATCAATCGGGTTTAAATATGAAATTCAGATGGACACGACAAGCCAAGGCTCCGCTGGAAAAATAAAATCTGAAGACCGTCTGCACGTGCTGCCGCTGCATATATATATGTACTTTTTCGAGAATTTTTTCATTCAAATCATGAAACAGTACAAAGTAGTTGACCATTACAAGCACACTGAAACACAAACATAAAGGACCACAAACACCTAGGGTACACTAAGCCAACCATAATACAAGAAGATCTCCGGAGCCCTGTGACATCATCCCTGAATCTTGAGAAAAGGCCCGTGCAGCAGAAGGATCTGCAACCAGGCGCAAGCAGATCATCATCTTCGACCACGGTACAATTGTCGTCACGCTGCTTCCTTCTTTCTTGACACCAGCGCTGAGAGGGCATGAACATCAATCCAACACAACTGCAACGGCCGTCGCCATCTTTGGCTTTGAGTACCGCGAAAAATGTCCCTTCCGAAAGGAAGAGAACTCGGGTCATCCGACCGGTCCAGCACCGCGGCCGGGCCATCCGCCCGGACAAAGCAGGATCTCCCTCCAGCATCAGCGCAGAGGAAGGAGAAGAACAACAACGGCAAATCATATCGACAAGGAAGAAGAAGCGTCTTCATTTCCCTGCTGTAACGCCCCGAGACCGACGCTCCAGAAGACTTCCAGCTATTCCGAGTTTCGTCGTGTGATTTGTTTTATTTGTTGCATTCATCCTTGCATCATGTGCATTGCTTCATGTCATCATGCCATCATATCATTAATTTTTAAAACCTCAACTAAATAAATTGCATAGATCTTTTGATCTATTTAAACCGAGGGAACTCACATGGTGACTTCTCTTTATAACATATCCTCCAATATTAGGGAGCTATATTAAATATTCCATTTTTGGAATCACCAAAACACACTTACAAATAATTTCGTTCCTTTTCTGCTTCAAGTTTGGTCTCCAACCTTGCCAATATTTATTTCATCATTTTCCGGAGCTCCACCAAAAATCCGAACATTTTTGGACCTTCCCAAACCTCACTTCCTATTCAAATCATTTGAATTTAAATCAAATGAGTTTGAATTTAATATTTCAATCATGCCTCTTTCTATTTTTCTTGGTACGAGCATATTTTTGTGAGTCCAAGGAAAATATCCCCTTGCGCTTTTTCTTCCCCTAACCTCTCTTTCTTTCTTTCTTTTCTCTGTTCTGTTTTTTTTATTTTTCATTAGAGTGAGGGAGAGACCCAGCTAGGCCTCTGCCAGCCCGCCAGGCCTCTGGCCATTCTCCTCCCCACCAGGCCGGCCCATTTGCTCCTAAGGCTCAGCCGCCTCCGCTGAGAACCCTAGCCTGTTCCCCCGATTCTATCTCTCCCTCGAACCCCCTCCTCGTCCTCCCTCAGCGCCGCACCGCATCCCTCGATCCACCTCTCCTCGATCCCCACCTTCCTCTCGCTCGCTCCCTCATCCCACTACCTCCTCCTCATCGCCTTGGGGCCCGACGCGCGCCACCACTGCAGGCCGGAGCCCCGTCGACCACCTCGCTGCCGTCGCGCCTAGGGGGCCACCAGCAAGGCCCTGCGCCCGCAGACGTCGTCCTCCGGCGCCCAAGTCCCGCGCGAAGCGCCAAGCCTCCATGGCTGCACCTCCTTCACCGCCCGAACCCGTCGTCCTCAACCCCGTCAAGCTCCGTCGCGCCCCGCGCCCTCAAGTGTCTCGTGCCCCGCCGCCGTCCGTCTTCTCGATCCAGCGCTGCCCTGCTTCCTCGTCCTCGCCGTCGCTTCCCTACACCTCTAGGCGCCGCCGCCGCAGCCCTCTCCATCGAGCAGGATCAGGAGCGTCACGAGGACGCCCGCCTCGACCGCACCTGGGCTGCGTTCTCGCCCTGGCTGCTTACCCAGGGACCACGCGGTCCGATGCCGGCCTCGCCAAGGCCCAGCTTCGCCAGCTCCCGCTGACCTCCTCAAGTTCACGACCTAGGACCTGAGACCCGTTGCCTCCGCTGCTAATTTTTCTGTGGATTTCGTCAAGTACCCCTTCGGATATGCCAAGTTCGACTACATGATGCGTCAAGTACCTCTACCGTCGACCCATGGGCGTCAAGTTCCTCTCCGAAACATGAACCACTACTATCGACCCGAACATCTACGAACCGTGTACAACTACCATCGCCGTGTACCACTACTTCCACTACCGTCGCGAGAACGTCTACTTCCGCTACGGCCGAGTACAACTACCTCCACTACGGCCCGTGAACGACTACTTCCTCTACGAAACGCGTTCCGCTCCGAAAACGCACGCTTCGAAGGTATAACCGCCGAGAACGACCGCCATGGACCGAATGCATGTGTTGAATGAGATGCTCGAGTTTTGCACCGTGATCGAATCGTCCTTGCGATGCCCCTCTTTTGCCGTGCCACCGTCCCGTGGGAACCCGGAAGCCGGGATCACCCCACCATCTTGCATGACACGCTCACGCCTCCTTTTGCACCGGTATCTCTGTGAGCTACCGGAACCGATATGTTGCCGTGGCACCATTTTTGTTTCGCCGCCGTGGCACCTTTTTTTCCTTCCGCCATGGCGACTAATGCTTCTTATCATGCTCTTGTCAACATTTTCATAAAAATTTGCATAAAACTTGTATATGTCATCCGCATCATGATAACAACATTTAAAATGTTTAAACTTGTTGTTGCATTAAATTGCTAAATGCATATGGGGATTTACCGGATTTGTTGTTTTTATATCCGGCCCCATTTAAATTGTTTAGATGGTATAGTTTATATTATGTTTCACCCCTTGCCATGTTTAACCACACTTAATATTGTTGTGTTCCTTAACGAGAGAGAACTAAATAATTGATGTGGTGTTTTGTCAATATGCACCTCGTTGCATATTGAGCTCCACTTAACTTGTAGTATTGTTTGTTGCACTTTGCCATGCCATGCCTCATTAAACCGGACATGCATCATACTTGTTTGCGCATCATGCCATGTTTATGTGATGTGTGTTTACTATGTTGTTTGTTTCTTTCCGGGTTGCTTCTCTCGTTAGCTTCGGTTTCGTTCCGGAGTTGTGAGGATTCGTTCGTCTTCGTCCGTTTGTCTTCTTCATGGACTCTTTCTTCTTCCTTGCGGGATCTCAGGCAAGATGATCATACCCTCGAAATCACTACTATCTTTGCTATGCTAGTTTGCTCGCTCTTTTGCCATGCCAATGCTACGATGCCTACCTTTTGCTTGTCAGCCTCCCAAATTGCCATGTCAAACCTCTAACCCACCATGTCCTAGCAAACCGTTGATTGGCTATGTTACCGCTTTGCTCAGCCCCTCTTATAGCGTTGTTAGTTGCAGGTGAAGATTGAAGTTTGTTCCTTGTTGGAACATGGAGATGTTGTTCCTTGTTGGAACATGTTTACTTGTTGGGATATCACAATATATCTTATTTAATTAATGCATCTATATACTTGGTAAAGGGTGGAAGGCTCGGCCTTATGCCTGGTGTTTTGTTCCACTCTTGCCGCCCTAGTTTCCGTCATATCGGTGTTATGTTCCCGGATTTTGCGTCCCTTACGCGGTTGGGCTATAATGGGAACCCCTTGACAGTTCGCCTTAAGTAAAGCTCTTCCAGCAATGCCCAACCTTGGTTTTACCATTTGCCACCTAGCCTTTTCTTTCCCTTGGGTTCTGCAGACTCAAGGGTCATCTTATTTAACCCCCCCCGGGCCAGTGCTCCTCTGAGTGTTGGTCCGA